GATTCCCTCGGGGGGAGATGGATGCTCCGGGGGGATTTTTTGGGACCTCCAAAGGGAAGGATGGATGCTCTAGGGTTGGGGATCACTTGGGATCTGCAGCCTGGGACTTTGGGGGGGTCTCAATCGGGACCTCCCAGCCTTGTGCTCCGGGGGAATTCCTTCGGGACCTGCAGATGGATGTTCCTGGAGGGGAGGGGAAATCTCAGTCTCACTCGGGACAGGCAGATGGATATTCCTGGAGGGGGAGTGTCTCACTCGGGACAGGCAGATGGATATTCCTGGAGGGGGAGTGTCTCACTCGGGACAGGCAGATGGATGCTCCATGAAATTCCCTTGCAGGTTCATCTTCCCCACGACCCGTCTGGGCGCCGAGAGCCAGTTCAGTGACTTCTTGGATGGGCTGGGGCCAGGGCAACTGGTGGGGAGGCAAACACTGGCCACCCCTCCGATGGGTGAGTGCCTGGGGTGCAGGGAAGGACCACGGGGAAGTGCCCTGGGAAGTTGGGAGCTGTGGGTGCTGAGCTCTGCCCCCTCCTGCTCCAGCTTCTGCTCTTCCCAGGGTCTCACTGTCCCTCAGCTGAGGGAATCACAGCCTTGGTTGATCCCAGCTCTTTTCCCATCAGGAGGGATAAAAATCCCCCTGTGGGATGGAGCTGATGGGATCTCACCCAAAGATCTCCTTGCTGCTCACTGCAAACATCTTCCCATCAGTTCTGCTTAGTCCTCCCTCCCAGTCCCAACAAATCAGGCACCTGGTGTGGTGGGATGCTCACTGGGAGCTGAGGGGGAGGTGACACCTCCCACCTGCTTTGAGGCACCACCAAAAGGCAGAGCTGGTGGAGGAGGTCACTGTCAGGGAGGTGCTGATGGGATCTCATCCCTCCATCCAGGTGATGTCCACGTTGGCATGGCTGAGCGGAATGGGCAGCTGGAGGTGGAGGTGATCCAGGCCAGAGGACTCATCCCAAAGTTGGGCTCCAAGTGCATCCCTGGTAGGTGGTTGAGGAGGGAGGAGCCAGGGATGGAGTTCCATGCCAGGATCATCACAGGATCCTGCTCCATGTCACTGTTTCTCTCCCATTTTCTGCTGCAGCCACCTATGTGAAGGTTTACCTGCTGGAGAACGGGGTCTGCCTGGCCAAGAAGAAGACCAAGGTGGTGAAGAAAACCTGTGACCCATCATACCAACAACCTCTGCTCTTCGAGGAGAGTCCCCAAGGCAAAGTCCTGCAGGTGATGATCTCCTGGCACTCAGGGACAGGGAGGGATCATAGAATCTTGGAGTTGGTTGGGTTGGGAAGGACCTTAAAGCTCATCTGACTCCACTCCATGGGTAGGGACACCTCCCACCAGCTCAGGTTGCTCCAAGCCCCATCCAGCCTGGCCTGGAACACTCGTAGGGATGGAATTTCTCTGTGGAAGTGTCTCAAGTTTTCCCCCCAGGATTCCCACTCCCTAACCCCTGCTGTGCCCACAGGTGATCGTGTGGGGCGATTACGGCCGCATGGACCACAAGTGCTTCATGGGGATGGCCCAGATCATGCTGGAGGAGTTGGATCTGTCCAGCACCGTGGCAGGATGGTACAAACTCTTCCCCACCTCATCCCTGGCCGATTCCAGCATTGGACCTCTGACCCGACGCCTCTCCCAGTCCTCCCTGGAGAGCTCCACCAGCCCCTCCTGCCCGTAGGGCCAGGAGGGTGGCAAAGGCTGGGAGGAGACATCCTGACCTACCAAAAACTGGTGGTGGAGAGCTGTAAATATCCTTCCTTTTTTTCGTTCTTTTGGGAATTTTTCAATCTCCTTCCCCCGACCGACCTGGACTGGACACTCTGCCCTCCAAGCTCACCCCTTGGCACGCCAAGGGGAGGTGGGAGAGGCAGAGGGGGAAGGAGGAGCTGAGACTGCTGATGGTCCCAGACTGTTCCCACACCTCGTCCTGGAAGACCTGGAGGCTCCTGGTTCTCTTCCTGCCCCTTGGTGAGAGCAGCTCAGGCTGGGGCAGCAGCGTGAGGACGAGGTTCCTTTCCTTCCACATCCTTTCCTTGCCTTTCCCAGGCAAAGGTAGCTTTCCAAGGGAAAAAAAATCCCCAACAAACTCAGCCAAAATCCAACTCAGCACTAGTTTGTTTTTTTTTGGTTTTTTTTGGTTTTTTTTCCAAGGAATGTAGCATCTTCAATTATGTAGCTTTGCCACGTGCTAACGACACACTCACTCTGCAATATCCAAGAGACTCCGGATGGGAACATCTGCCAGTCACATCCTGTTTGGTTGTTTTCCAAGCACTTCTGGTGACCATTTTCCCTTCCTTCCTTCGTTTTTTCCCATGATTTTTTCCCGGTAGCATGTAGCCTGTGACCAGTGCCATTGCCAAAGCAAGAGAGGACAGGGAAAGGTGCACTCACCTCACCCCTCAGCTGGTCTTCTCCTCATGTTTCACCACTCACCATGGGCTTGTCTGGCCAAAACAAGACCCAAAGGATAAACTCTGTGATGCCTCACGTGGAAATTCCAGTCGGGAGGAGGCGACCCAACGGAGCAGGAATTCCGTGATGCTGCTGGATCATCTGCCTCCCAGCCCCTTCCTCCTCCTGCCAGGGCCAGCTGGAGGCCTGGGATGCTCTACTCGAGGTCTGGGATGCTCTTCTTGGGACTGGGATACCCTCCTCGGAGCTGGGATGTCCTTCTTAAGGTCTGGGATGTCCTTCTTGAGGTCTGGGATGCTCTCCTCGAGGTCTGGGGTGCCCTCCTTGAGAGGTGGGAAGCTCTCAAGAGGTGGGATGTCCTCCTCAAGGTCTGGAATATCCTCCCTGAGGTCTGGGAATGCCCTTCTTGAGGTTGGAATGCTCTCCTCGAGGTCTGGGATGTCCTCCTCAGAGCTGAGATGCTTTCCTTGAAGGCTGGGATGACCTCCTCAGGGGTTGGGATGCTCTCCTTGGGGTCTGGGATTCCCTTCTCAAGGTCTGGGTTGCCCTTCTCAAGGGTTGGGATGCTCTTCTCAAGGTCTGGGATGTCCTTCTCAAGAGCTGCAATGCTCTCCTTGAGGTTGGAATGTCCTCCTTGAGGGTGGGAAGACCTCCTTGAGGTCTGGGACACCCTCCTTGAGGTTAGGATATCCTCCTTGAGGTTGGGATATCCTCCTTGAGGTTGGAACACCCTCCTTATCCTCCTTGGGAACACCCTCCTTGAGGTTGGAATGTCCTCCTTGAGGTTGGGATGTCCTCCTTGAGGTTGGAACACCCTCCTTGAGGTTGGGAAGACTCCTTGAGGCTGGGACACCCTCCTTGAGGCTGGGATGTCCTCCTTGAGGTCTGGGACACTCTCCTCAGGGTCTGGGACGCCCTCCTGGATACTTGAATTCCAAGCAGGAGCAGAGGTCTCACCCAACCCTTCCTCCAACTCTCGACTCGCTTGGGATGTCCTCCTTGAGGTTGGAACACCCTCCTTGAGGTTGGGAAGACTCCTTGAGGCTGGGACACCCTCCTTGAGGCTGGGATGTCCTCCTTGAGGTCTGGGACACTCTCCTCAGGGTCTGGGACGCCCTCCTGGATACTTGAATTCCAAGCAGGAGCAGAGGTCTCACCCAACCCTTCCTCCAACTCTCGACTCGCTGGTTCACTACAGGGAACATCTCAACAGCAGCTCCTGCTGCTCTGGAATTCGAGGCCTGGAGAGGTGATGGCCAAAGGACTCAGAGCTTTGAGTCCCTTTTCAGGATGAGAGTTTTGGGCTTTTTGTTTGTATGTTTTGTTTGTTCGTTTTTAAAGCAGCATTTTGGGTCCCTGGAGGGATCCAGATCTTGTAGCAAACCTGAGGCTTATGGAAGCTTTTTTTTGAAGGTGCCTAATGAAACTTGCTGAAAATACTCAGGGGAGACACCACTAGAAACTTTGGGTTCTTCAGAAACTCAAACCTAATCCAATGACTGTCCTGAAGGATCAGTTCCCAAAAGAGGGGGGGGAAAAAAACCCAACCAAACCCAACACACCAAAAGCTGAGCAGTTTGGAGAGTGGGAGAGGACAAGAGGTTGGTGGGGAATTGTTGCCAACCAGTCTTCAACACAAACCAACCCAGAGCACAGTTGGTTTTTTTGTACACCTGATTCTTGGCAAAGCAGAGAATTCCACACTGCACACAGCACAAGGAACCAACCTGTTGGGCTTCTCCTGGGCACAGCAGGAACCTTCAGCCAGCTCAGCCACCACGGAACAAAACCAAACCTGAAGGAAAAGACTGTTGGGATGAAGCTGTCCCCACCACAAACCCCTTCCTGGGGTCCACAAACCCACACCTGGGGGTCCTCAAACTCAAACCTGGAGGTCCTCAAACCCAAACCTTGGATTCCACAAACCCAAACTTTGGGGTCCACAAACCCAAACTTTGGGGTCCACAAACCCAACTTGAAGGTTCTCAAACCCAAATCTTGGGTTCCAAAATCCCAAACCTGAAGGTTCACAAACCTAACCCAAACCCAGGGGTTCTCAAACCCAAACCTTGGGGTCTGCAAACCCAAGGGTGTTCACAAACCCAATCTGAGGGTTCTCAAACCCAAACATGAAGGTTCACAGACCCAACCCAAATCCAGGGGTTCTCAAACCCAAACCTTGGGTTCTACAAACCCAAGGGTGTTCACAAACCCAACCTGAGGGTTCTCAAACCCAAACCTGAAGGTTCACAAACCCAACCCAAATCCAGGGGTTCTCAAACCCAAACCTGAGGGTTCTCAAACCCAAACCTTGGGGTCTACAAACCCAAGGGTGTTCACAAACCCAATCTGAAGGTTCTCAAACCTAAACCTTGGGTTCCACAAACCCAAACCTGAAGGTTCACAAACCCAACCTGAAGGTTCTCAAACCCAACCCAAACCCAGGGGTTGTCAAACCCAAACCTTGGGTTCCATGAACCCAAACCTTGGGGTCTCCAAACCCAACCCTGGGGGTTCTCATACCCAAACTTTGGGGTCCACAGGACTCTGCTGTGCAGTGTCTGTTTTACCTGGCACTGACACAATTTCAGTGACATCATGACAAGGACTTTGAGCTGCTCTTGGGACTTCTCTTTGCCAACTCCAAACCACTGCAGAGCCGTGAGTGAGAAGGGAGTGGGTTGGAAGCTGCTGACCCGGAGTGGGGAAAAGATTCATCCTCCACTGGAGCAGCAAACCCAGGAATGTGGGATGCACTGAGCCTGGAGTGGTTTGAGGAAGCAAACTGTGTGCCCTGACTACTGAGAGAGGAACAAACACTGCTCTGAACATGATGTTCCTTGCAGAGCACGAAGCAGTTCGAGGTCAGCAGCGCCCGGTGAGGCTGAGCTGCTGCTGCTCTGCTGCCTGTCCACGAGGGAAAGCATCCTAAGGGGAAAAGCTTTCTGCTCCTCCAAGCTGACACGATTTCCTTTGGCTCTCCAACTCTTTATGCCCAAGCTGCCTGTGGTGGGACCATAGCCACGGCCGTGGGGCTGTGGAGCATCGGCGTGGGCAGCGCTGGGAGTTGTGCTGGGATGTTCTGCTCACTGCTGTGGGCACAGCATCCACCCCCTCCCTTCCCAGCACGGGTTGTGCATTCCTCCAGCGTGCTGCAGAGCTTTCTCCCTGCCAGGAACATCACACTCCTGTGTTATGACAGGGAGCAGAGGCGGGGGAGGAGCAGCAGAACACCAGGACCACGCGCCTGCCGATGCCTGAGGTCTAACAAAAAGCCTCACTGGTTCTTGCACCAGTTAAATAACCTGCTGGAAAAATCCAGAGGAAAGAAGTAGGACCTGGAAGGGACACCTGGGTACTCCAGGGAATGGGAAAGAGCTAAAGGGTTTAGCTTGTTTTGGTCACTGACAGCCTGAGGATGCATTGGAGGGTGACGCATCCCAGTCCTTCCTTGGTGTCCCAGTCCTTCCTCAGTGGTGGATTCCTGTTTGCTGCTTCATGGCAATGATTCCTCCTGCTTTTCTCGAGCCTGGCAAGGTGCAATCACCATGTCAGTGCCTCCTCATGACCAGCACTCCCTCACCAGACTCACCCAAATCCATCCAAGACCTTCAACTTCTTCCCTTCCAGCCCTACCAGGAGCTGCCACTCACTTCCCTGGGGAAGCTCCTGGGGCAGGACCCACTTTGTCCTGCTGTGGGAATGCTAAAGAGGGGGAAGAGCCTGGATTGTGCCACTTTTCCATGGCAACATCAGCTCCTTCAAGCCCTGAGACAGATGTTTTCCCTCCTTGAGCAAGAACCTCCAAGCCAACACATCCCATTGCTTCCTCCAACCACACACCAGAAACCCAAGGCACAGCTCCTGAGGAGAAAATTCCCTCTATCCCAGGACTAACCACAAGCTCCTGCACTCCAGGTTGTTTTTTTGTTTTTCCTAGGGGAATATTTCCTTGCCAAAGGCAGTTGCTATGCAGGATATGACTGGCACGAGGTGTCTGCTCTGCCTCATTGGGATGTGTTGGATTCTTTCCCTTCCATCGTGAGAGGGAAGTCAAACCACTTGATTTAGCAGATATTACGCCCTAGAAAAGAGTAATTAATAGGCAATTAAATCAGCTCTGCAGCCTGGTTTACACCCAGCCCCCACCTGACACAGAGCTCACCCGAGCACTGACGCTGGAATCAACACCCAACTGGAGTCACAAGGATGGATGGGGCCAAAATAGCCTTGAAATTACATTCCAACACCCCCTAAATGCTA